CTTGGAAGAGAGGACCCAGGGGGTTGGGCTCTGGGGGCGAGGGCCAAGTTTACACGGAAATGGCCCACCCCGGAGAGGCAAAGAGGGCGGGGGCCATTTTTTTCGAGGGAAGGGGGAAGGAGGAGGGGCCTTGCTGGCGGTTTGAGACCCAAGCGGCCGCAAAGCGCCTTCGAAGCGCCGGGCGGCGCCCTACGGGGGAAGGGGGTCCGAGAGAAGAGGAAGCTTTCGCGGAAAAGGTTTGTGGGCAAGCAGAGAGGGGGGCTGTGGCAGCAGAGAGGGGGCTGTGGCAGCAGAGAGGGGGCGGTCAAGTGTGTGCGCGCCCGAGGCGCAAGTCATGAGGTCGAGCGGCAGCATGGCGGGCTGGCGGACGCCGGTCGCCGCGGCGTACCGCGAGGAGAGGACGCCCTTGGCGCGCGTGACGACGGGCAGGTCCACCTCGTAGAAGGCGGGCGCCTGGTCGCCCGAGTAGCGCAGCGCGCGCGTGTCGTACCCTGCGCCTGCGCCTCGACGCATGCTCGGGTCAGCGGGTGCAATCTCGCGGCGCGGCGCGTGTCTGCGCCCCGCGCCGAGCAGGACGACTTGCGCCTCGTCGGGCGAGACCCCGCTCGCTTTCAGCCCGTCGATCCACGCGTCGAGCGTCGAGTCTAGGAAAGAGGTGCGCTGCGCGATCCACTCGAGCTTGGGGAGGACCTGGAGGGAGTTCGGAGACGCGTGCGGGTGAGGTGCTCGCGGAGGCGCGCTCCACACGCGAGCCTGGGCAGCACCGGAGCCCACAGCGGCGCGACCGCCGGCGAGACGAGCCAGCGCGAGGCGGGCGGCAGCAGCTGGTAGGCGACAGGGTCATCGAGCTGGCCGGAGGAGGCGAGGAGGGCTCGCACCCAGAGCACCTGCAGGTTCTTGTACGAGTCGAGCCGCAGGTCCGGCTCCGTCGCGTACAGCACCTGCGACGGGAAGGAGGAGCTCCGTCGCACACGACAGCGCGAGGCGTGGCCGAGACGGCAGCACGGCTGGGCGTCGACAGGGCGACGCGGGCTGCAAGGCTGGCGGCATGCCTTGAAGGCGAGCTCGAATAGTGTGTCGAGGGCCTTCTGAACCGCCGTCCGCTCCGGTGGGCCGCCCTTGGGAGGGCCACCGCCGCCACCGGGAGGCGGCCCGCCACCGCCGCCAGGTATCGGAGGGCCGGCAGGCTTCTGCGCCGCCACCGCCGCCGGCTCGGCAGCTACGAGCCGTGCGACGCGGCACTGGCGGCCGTGGCGAGGGGCAAGCTGAGGCGCAAAGGCGGCTGCTGGGCCGCAGCAGCAGGCGGCGAGGCAGCAAAGAATAGAGGGTTGTCCTCTCATGCCGCAAAAGCTTCAAAGAAAACGATGAAAACATATAACGTGTGGGCCCTCAGCGGAGCTGGGAAGAGGACCGCCGCAAGCGGCGTGGCGTGGAGCGGTTGTGCATCCCTCCGGGGGCCCCTCTGCGCCGGGGAGGCGTTGTTGGAGGCTAGGACGCAAGCGTCCGTCGCCCTTTTCAAACTCGGGGCCCACTCCGCTACGCTCCGACCCGAATTTGGAGGGCCTGAAAGTTTAAGGTGTTGCTGCGCAAAAGGGGTCGGACACCGGGCGCAGCTCATGCTAAGAGCTAGAAGAGGAGATAGAGAGAACAACCACCTCGAACAACCACCCTGTCCCGTTATTGCGTACACCAACAAACACCACAAAACGCTCTCTCTCTCCTGTCCTCACTCAGGGGGGTCTGAAGATTCTTTTTCCTTCGCGGCAACGCGATGGCGGCAAGGCCTCTCTGCGCGCCCGCCCTCGCCACGCCGAAGACCAACCGACGTCGGACCGCGGTGAGACCACGCCGCCCCCCGCGCCCGCCCGCGCCCGCAGCGTGAACACATACGCGCGTCCCTCACCGCACGGAAACATACGCGCCAGCCGCGCAGC